TGCCTCCTACCGCAGGCGCCTCCGCACGGCCCTGACGGCCGTCTGTGATCCTCAAAGTTGCAGGGGCAGGTGCCATCACCCATCCTGCCGAAAACAAACTAGGGCACTGGGTCTTCTTGTGGCCCCGCTGGTTGCAGTGAAAACATATCAAATCAGATCCCTGTGTGGTGGTAGCAGTACAATCCCTGCTAAAATGACCCGTCCGACCACACTTGAAGCAGCTAGACTCACCACCGCTACCACTCCTGCACGCGCCCCCGTGCGCCCTTCCACACTTCCCGCATCGGTTGCGGTCCTGATAATCTCTCGATCTCGAATCCGATCCCTTGGGCCTTTTGCCCGAACCCAAAAATGTCTGAATCTCATTCGATTTCCTCTTCCGGATCTGCTCCAAATCAATCTCCCTTACTCTAGCTCGCTCGATCATATCCTCCAACGTTTTGCAGCTGGACCTGCTCACAAACTGCCTGATGTCATCCCTCAACATCTCATGGTATCAGGCCTTCTTCATCTCCTCATCCACGACATACTGCGGTACAAGAAGAGCCCTCTCCCTGAACTTGGCGGTGATCTCCGCCACAGTCTCTGTGGTTTGCGTCAAATCCTAAAATTCCCGTGCCAACTGCTGTACGTCAATAATCGGTGAAAACTCAGCCCTGAACCTGGCTGAAAAATCACTCTTTGTCATCGCGTCCAACGCGGAATCATCACCCAAAGCATGACCAATATCTTCCCACCAATCCCTCGCTCTGTCCTTCAGAAGATAGGAAGTGAGTCTGACCTTGTCCCCCTCGGGACACCGGCTCGTACGGAATGCGTTGGCAACGTCAGCCAACCATCTGCTGCTAGCGATGGGGTCCCTAGCCCCATGATAATCCGGTGCCCCGCAAGCCCTGAACTCTCGAAATGTCAAAGTACGCGCTCCCATCAAAGCCATCATCTCGGTACGGAAGGCTCCCAACCTCTCATCCAAAATCTCCAATATACCCTCCTTGACCGTGCCAAAGATCACAGGAGTCTGGTCTAGAATATTGTGTGTAACCTCCATTGATATCAACTCCCTCATTCGCTCCTCAAGCTGCTCGGCTCCTGAACCCGAGCCTGATCCCTCTCCGGCGCCTGATCCGCCCACTGGTCTCTCTCACAACGTCACCATGCTGAAAATATAACACAACCACTATCAGAATACTTATCATTGTTGCGAGACCAAACACACGCACTACTAGGTTCCCGGTCTTGTCTCAGCCTTTCCCGAATCGAGTACGGATCCTCTGCTTTCGGTAGTACGGGCCCATACTACCTTCCACATCTATCCGTACTTTCCTCAAGAACTGCTTCGACTCCTCCAGGTCCTTCTTCTACTACTACTGCTCCCAGCACTACCTCATCCTAGGCTTGCCCTAGGGAAACCTCTGACTCAAACCAAACCAGTCCTCAGCTACTGAAGGACTCCTTGTGATGCCAATTAGCCATTACCTGGATACTATCACATGTGAAGAGGCTAAGATAATCCTTTAAGTAAAAGACTCGTCCCTACAACGGTTGGACTCAAACAAGAGCTACGCAATAGGGCCAAATCCAACACTCTGAGATTATTCAACCTTGATCACATGTAACGTGACGTATCCACCTAATGGCTAACTCCCATCACTTGGAATCCTACAATGCACAAAGCAAGCAACATTCAGACAAGGGGAAAAAAATCTAACCATAACATACTCAAGCAATCATAATATCATACCAAGAATCTATACTAGCATGCAACACAAACTCATAATCTCAGGCATAACCTAAACAAGCTATCCTACTACTATCTAATCAGCACTATCATGCAGCTCAAGGCACGTATAACAGGCACATAAGGCATCCTCCCTAGATCCTTAGTCCTAATCTAGCATGCTGTTCTATTAACCGATATTCATAAAATAAACTTGTATGGGTATTTTGGGGTACTTACTTGAGCTCGGCTGATTTCATGCACCACACCCTTTTCTCTTATCAAAATTCTTTTCTTTCTGAATTCTTTTTGCTTTTCTAAAACTGTTTTCTTTCTCAAAACTCTCTTTTTACAATCTGTCTTACCATTTTGAAAACTTCTATACCAATTCCTCAGTTTGAGTTCAGACACACCCGAGAGCATGTCCGAATCCCTCAAACCAAGGCTCTGATACCAACTTGTAAGACCCAAAATTCAAGACTAAAAGTTTCTTTTAATAAAACATTACTTAAAGCAAAATCATCAATCCAGACTGTCTAATCTATGGTGTGTGCCATGCAATCACCTCGAGCTCTTCCCTCCGCTACCGGAAGTACCTGAAACCAAAACTGAAAACCGTAAGCACGAAGCTTAGTGAGTTCCCCACCCTACCACATACCATGCATAACCACATACTGCACATACTGGGCCACAACCGCTATCCTGGGCCTCGTCCCCTGCTTCGGGCCTCGCCCGCTACAACGGCCCCGCTTGGCTTCAAGCCCCGCTCGGATACAGATCTGTTTAACTTAGGCCTCGCCTGTCAATGGGCCCCGCCCGCTAATATATAATAGTACATAAGCATATAACAACACAAAAGCTAACATATACTCACAAATCCTGTCATGAGGCCTCGCCTATCTTGGGCCTCACCCTTATCCTGCTACTGATGAGTCATGGAACCCCGTCCACACCCTTACTGATATTGAGATACGGGCCCAACCCACACTCACTCTTTCCCTAACCTGGGCCTCGCCCATGTTCTGCTACTAATGAGATGTAGAACACCATCTACACTCTGCTATTGGTGAGATACGGGATCTCGCCCACACTCACCTCCCTACCAGGCACATACATGTATCACACAGACAACAAGTATAAACTATCATATAAACCATTCCTTGGGCACCCGCCCGCTATCATTGGACCTCGTCCTGAATATCATACTAGCATATTGTGCCTAGGGCTAACCCCCGGGTCTTCCTACTCGCATCTACATGGGCCGGCATTGTGGCCTTTGACCCATTCACACAAAGGGAAACTCACATGCACTTGCTGAACTTGCTGATAACCCCTCTAGTTGCTGCCCGACAACTCTTTGAACTCCTGCTCCACTAGCTCCCCGAGCTACCAATATCAATGCAACACTTAGTCTAACTATCCCCCAAAAGTTAACTAAGTCAACTCTGGTCAACGTCAAAGTCCTGGTCAAGGTCAACCTTCCAGGTCAACCTTACTCGCCGAGTTCATATGCTCAGAGTCCTTCCTTTCGCGACTTGACTTGCCGAGTCCAAGAACGGACTTGCCGAGTCCAAGGCAATCTTCAACAGACTCGCCGAGTTGTTCTTCCAACTCGCCGAGTTCCTGCCCAACTTCATCCAACTCGCCGAGTCTACCCATGTGACTCCCCGAGTCGCTCCAATCCTTAATCCATACAGTGGCTTTTTGAGCCATGCATGGGCTCCAACTCATAGATCCATACTTCCAAAGCTCAATCCCCACGTAAAGTTGCAAACTTTACGTATAACTAAAGAGATCTAGGCTCAAAACACTCTAGGGTTAGGTTTAGGGACAAAAAGGGCTTTACCAACTACTCATCTTCTGATGCTTTACGACATATTGGACCATCCCAACACTAGATCTGAAGTGGCAACAACATATCTAGGCCCCAAACTCGAATTGGGTCTCAAACAACCATAAAACCCCCAAATCTCATAACAAAAGTAGATCTAGATGCAAAGGAGGGAAGATAGCAGCTTATTACCTTCAAGATGAACACAAACTGAAGTAGATCCCGGATCTACACCTCCCCTTTGAAGCAACCTTCTTGATCTTCAAGTTCCTTTCCAAAGTTATTTCTCTCAAATGATGGAAGCTCACACGAAATCTAGGGTTTACAGGTTCTCTAGGATGATATGGAGGCTGAGGGAGGGACATAACACCCTTTAAATATGATACAACTCCCAGGATTAGGGTTTTCCTCGTTCAGACCAGACTCGCCTAGTCCCTTTAGCTGACTCGCCGAGTCGGTCACTAACTCCTGAACCCGGATCCTGCTAGGACTCGCCGAGTTCCTCCTTGGACTCGACGAGTCGTCCCTTAAACTTAGGGTTTCCTTTCCTTTCTTGGCCTTCCTGACTTTGGGTGTTACATCGACGGTGGTGAGCAAAGAGAAGAAGGGAAAATACAGAAGACCAGGAAAGAAAGTGAGAACGAAGAGGGTTTTATTATTGACGATCTTTAGTGGCGATGGATACTCATTGGCGGCAACACACCAGAGGGAAAACAACATGATGTTTCCTACTGTGTTGGATCATCGCTTAAATCAACGGATGGGATTGAAATGACGTGGATCGCCAACATAAGCTTTTAGCGGCGACCAGTGGCGGATCCAAGAATTTTAATACAGGGGTACATACATAATTTAAATTTAAAATAACATTTGAATGATCAAAATCTTGGTAAAAACATGAAGCTCTTGAAATTGTATCTTTTAACAAAAGTTTTCAAATGGATGGTGGAAACCGATCTTGCTATTGTCTCTAAACTCTCGGCAACAATCATTTCAATTCATAAGAAGAAAAGTAGGTAAAAAGATTTAATGTTTCGAATTGGGGATGCAAGATAGTTAAGCTTAATTACATAAAAAAAAAATTAATATTTAAAATTTAATATATATATATATATATAATTTATTTTGGGGTTACAAGTGTAACCCCAACTCCTCATCTAGATCCAGTGCTTGCGACCACCAAACACTTTTAGCGGCGGCGATAAAAAGCAAGTTTTTTTGTAGTGCTCTTGAAGTGTCCGTAGCCAGTACGGTTATTTTTGTAGTGTTACCGTTGATGGTATAACAGCATATTATCATCGTTAAACAAATTTATTCTATTCCTCAACGCGTACATAATAATGAATAATATCAAAACAAATAGAGAATGAACATCAACAAAGTTGTAAAACTTGGACCATATCCATCGCTAGGCCTTTTCACTTAATTAGAACAAAAGTCGGATCAAAGAGCTCACCAACATGAAAGCAAACGATCCTGAAACACAAGTTGCACCCGAAGTCGAAGTCGAAGTCGAAGTCGAAGTTGAAGTCGGTGCCGCGTTTGAAGAAGACGAACCAGAAGAAGAAGCTGAAACTGTAGTGATCTTTACCTTCATCCCGCTATCGCAATGTCCGGCTGTACCACATGCAAAGTATCTTGTACCCTCCTTTGTTAACTTCACCACACTGTTGCCGTCGCTCATGGAATTCGTAGCGGATCCCACATCGCACTTCTTGTATTCGCTCTCGCTGCCCAGCTCTGCAACGCTATGCATTGGACTGTACTTGAACACTATAATCCAACAAAAAAAACCCGTTAATCAGATAAAATCATTCAAAAGATCGATCTAGCTCATCAGTCATCTCATGGATATTTTAATCAGCTTACCGAGCGTATCGCCAACCTTGAATGTTTGACCCGAAGCCCAGGAGTCAAAATCAGTCGATTCGTCCCACCCTTGTTTCCCTCCAACCACATGTTGCTCGGCTGACCCTTGTTTTGATAGCATTAACAACAACCCAACACAACCCACCATCATTAACGTCATGTTATATGCACTATTCTCCATTTGTGTTTGATCGAATGGTTTGAGTATGGGAGTATGAATGAAACCAAACATAGCATGTACACTACATATATACTACATTAATATTATTGTTGTACCAAATGGCATACGTGATTGATTGGTGGTCTGTCCTGTCATATTGCTTGACATGATTGTAATTTTTCTATTTTAAGATACCATAATATTGTATTTTTGGTAGGTTCATTGTAAAATCAGTAGACAGTTAGATAAATTGTCGGCTAAGCAAAATCTTTGTGGGGTCTTGATCATCAAGAGTTTGCTTGCCTTTAAAACTTCTCATAAATGAATTTGATATTGCACTCTTTTGCTTAACTTCATTATCAAGCAAAAACACTAATATAATTAATTTGTTTACATGTATGATTATGAATCAAGGTATTTGGTGCATGCATGGGTGCTAGTTACTGGTATTAATTAGAGAGCAAAAACGAGCGTGTTACATGATTACATTTATGTTTCACATCTTATAATTTATTGGTTCCTTGTAAAAAAGGAGATGATTTTGTCATAAATAACGTCTTTGGCGGTTATACCCATGATAAAATCAGCATGAGCATAGTCCTTGATATATTGCACGCTAAGCTTCCCTTCATCATGCCACTTGAGATCATCGAGCAAAGTAGCCACATCTTTGGGGTCAGACAGAGCATCTTGACCTCCATAACTAATAAACAAAGGGAAGTCCTTTGGGATGTTGGAGATGTTATAGATTGGAGGCCTTGGTACGCCATAGTGTTCCAGATTGAACACCGGATTCCCATAGTCATATTTCGCCAAAATCCCATCTCTAACAGCTGCAAGATCCATTTAATTTTACTCATAGTGCTAAAGTGTCACGTATTATATCATAAATATATACAAACTTAACCAACTTACTTTGAGCTAAATGAACCATGTTTTTAGTCGAGGTAGACTGAGGCTCGCTTCTTAAAAAAGCATCAACAGTCGAGCCATTGAGGCAGCAGTTTTTACCTTTGAAATTAATAACCATATATGCATACATGATATATAAAAATAAAAATATACACAGGCCGGAATCTTAAACAGATCGAATTAATCATTAATTAATTTGCAACAAATTAACAGTAGGGGTACGTACTATATCATACCTGTAATGGCAGACATTAAGTCATAACAGTCAACCTTCGGATCTGCACATAGGCCTTTCAGGAAACGGCTCACTTCTTCGCTGTATGTTATTATCGAAACAATATCTTTATTAGCTCATTTTTAAATTTTTATCAAGGAAAAACTAAAACAAGAAGTAGCATGCAGTTATTTTGTATACCCTTTTGGATAGAACTCGGCAAGACCAAATACAATTGTAATCTGTAGAGAAAATTTTTTACAACGTTTTTAGCATAATTGTAAATATATGGGATGATATGAAATGGAAAATAATGTATTAATGATGTTAATATATATATATATATATATATATATATATATATATATATATATATATATATATATATATATATATATATATATATATATACCTCTCCAACAAAGACTTTGGCTGCAACAACACCAAGTGGAGTGGTCATATGGCTCAAGTACGCAATCGGGCTTAACAATGCAGCCGATTTCACTTTGTCTATTTGTTTCCCCTCAGAAAAAGAGGCTAATGCAATCAAAGTTCCCTACAATTGGAATTTGGAGCAAGATAATAACACATAAATTAACTTGTGTACCTTTTCTTTAGCCTTTTAGGTGGTGTGTAGTACTTTAGTACATCATCAGAAAGTACAAAAACGACCTCTATTATTTAAGCCCAATAAAAAATGTCGCTAAAGCCATATTTAGTTTGTGTAAAAAAAAAAAGATGATTTACCAGGGAATGTCCAACATAGTGGATCTTTTGGCTAGTTTGTTGGAAGATATAAGCAATAACAGCAGGCAAGTCACGAGCAGCAATTTCATCCCATGTCCAATTCCAGAATTCCTAAAAATTAAAGTGACAGTAAATACTAAATAGTGAGACTATGTCTAGCTAGGTGATACGATACATGATATTAACAATTAAAAGTGGCATGGTATGATATAAGTATGCAACAAAAATAAATAATGTTTGTACATACGGGTTTGTCAGGATCAAGAGAAACATGTCGGCGACTAAACGAGGTTCCTCTGGTGTTGGCTATCCACACATCGTAACCGTGATCCGCCAAAATCAAGGCTAAAGATTGCTCTGGGGAATTCAGCAGCCACGTCATTCCATCCTTCATCCCAAATATAATTCAAAATGGATACTACTTGTGAGATGGAAATTAAAGTAAAACTTATTTTTAGTACTAGAGTCCATGACAATTTGTTTAATAATTGAGGCCGAGGGGGCTTATGTGTCAGAAGAGTCTACGCTGTGCGTGCATCACGAGATACTTGGAATCATTGGCCAATGTTAAACTACCTGAAGCGGTCAATATTATCTAAAAACATAAAGAATAAGGAATCTCATTAATAGTATTAGAGATCTCACTCAAATTTTATTAAATAAAATTAACGTTTACAACTTACAATATTATTACAAAATTCTATTAAGAATATCGGAGAGTTTCAAATTATCAGAATTATTTGGATATTTAATTATTAATCATTTTTACTTATGTATCAAACCACACATTGTCTTTTATGCAAAAGAGTAAGCTGTACATTTTTTTCATCCAAATTGGATAAAATTGAATTTGATGTATGGTCTAGTATAAATATTTTAATATTTACTTACTAGAAGAAGATAATTTAATAGAGAACGCAAAATATTGTCAAAAAGTAACCTTGAAAACCAAAAACATTCATGTAGCCGCATTCCAACTGAGCCTACTATCGGTAGACACCTAACGAAGCGACAAATTGAATGGTAGTGAGGTGGCAACATGCATGTGTTCCATTTTCAAAGCATTATCTTATGAAATTCATATAAAGGAAAAAAAAAAAAAAAAAAAAAAAAAAAAAAAAAAACGTATTACATAGAACGACACGAGCTACAACGCAGCATCTAAACATCACGCAAATTTATGCACATCGTGTTCCACGAGGCTGTTTTTTATTTTTTTCAATCTTCTTTACAACTAAATGTGGCACCATTTTATGTTTCAATTATATTAATAATTAAATTCATATATGTGTAATTAAATTCAACACCAACAAACAATCTTTTGTGTTTCTATTATATTAATAATTAAATTCATATATGTGTAATGATTTTTAATATGAACAAAAACAGATACCTTATAACTTCTTAGTGGGGTTAATGATGGTGTGGCGACAAAATTCTTTTGGACGTTTACAAGAACACGGAATGCTTTGGTAAAGTAGACACGCATGTAGTCCTACGAATAATGTCTGTGTGCTAAGTGCTAATAATAAAATTACCACAAGAACTCCATGTTGTAACAACACCGGTTGTCTCTTCCTCCTCCCGCCGCCGCCGCCTCGCCCCTCCGGAATCCTTTGAATGCTCAATATATATCCATCTTCCGTCGTCACCTGACAATACAAAACCAATTAGTAACCAGTCAACAGGAGTAAATTGATACCAGATCGACGTTGTAATCACGCCGGCCGTACATCAATTTCTTGACACTTGTAACCGTATTTGGTGACGGCAGAGGCGCATATTCCGAGCGGTGGAGGGTTCATGACGACGCCAACGTCGGAGGTCAGCCTGCTTGATCCGAAAGCTGGGTATGGTGGAATTGACAACATCACAACGACCCATAAGAATCCCAGAAATTTACAGACACCCATAATTTCTTCAGGAGTGACGGAGAGGATAATGAGGGAACACAAAACAAAGCAGCATTTATAGCGATAATGTCAGTGTGTGAACGAAATCTTGAAAATTTGGGTCTATTTCGAGAGCTCTCAACTGAAAGTGAGAAAATGGGCTCTTTTTTTTCCTAGTGACAGAAGGGGAAGATGGTCTCCGGGACCCACGCCAAGTTTCATTGAGTTTTAATTTAAACAAGCATCCATTCACTCAAAATTTAATTTTACAAAGAGTAAATTGCAAATTTGAAGCATCTGTTATCCAAAAAAAAAAAGTTTAAGTCTAGTTTGTTGTTGTTGTTCTTTTTTTTTTACATGCATAATAGGTCTAAATTTTAAAATATCACGTAGGCTTTTTCTTGAAAATTTAAATGCATTTGAAAATACTAATTTGTTCTTTTGAAATTTATTTACTTATATTTTTATAATTAAAAAAAATCTAACAACCTCTCTCTCAAAGTTTAGGGTGTATTCGGATGGCTTGGGCATACCAACTATGTGAACGCGTATTCGGATTACTACGCGACAAGAGGAAGGTCACGATGTGACAATAGCTTCAACCCAAATCCATGATCATTTAGGGTTTCTTTCATATTTAAGCCACTAAACTCAAGGTTTAAGGCATCCTTGTTAATGCATAAAAAATGAACCTCTAGCAATCTAACCTAAAGCAAATCCGAAGTCACTCAAGTCCGAAATGTGAAGAAGATCCAAAGTCCCTTTTGATTCGAGATGAAGAGATTTCGAAGTTAGAGTCTGTACAAACATTTAATGTTTTTTGTCTTTTTGTTGATGTAACAGTTCTTAGGACTATTTCAACAAATCTTTTAAGTGTCAGATTTATCAAACTCATTGTATTAACTAGTTCTTAGATTGTATTTCAGTTTGTACCAGACACTCATTTACTATTTAAGGAGTAGATGTTCTCTGGAATTAACACCAAGAATAGAATCAATCGATATTCTCTTCACATCATTTCAAACTATCTTGCAAGTCAATATCTTTCACTTACATTCTACTTGTTCTAAATTATCTTTACTTTGATTATACTCAATCTTACTTCGTTTTACTACTTGAATACTTTGTTGAATATAAACTTTAAGTCTCGAGTGGTTTCCAGACTTGATCGGACCAACAAATTAGAAGCAAACTTTGATCTTAAAGTTTAATTCAAGGTTTGAGTTTTCAAACCTTGTCAGCGCATTGAATCTTGTTCTTACAATTGGTATAAGAGCTTGAGTGGTTGTCCTTTGAATCCATAAGAACATATTATAGTTGATCTAAGATTACCTTGGTATCTCAATCATTTATGTGTTCATGATAAAAGTTCTTCTATATACCACTTCTGTTTTAATACTCTAACTTTAATGACTGCTCCTTATTCAACTCAACAAATGTATTCAATGCAAATAACAAATAACGTGGGTTGCCCTTCTCATGCCTTACTTCTAGTTGTTGAAGAGTATGATCACTGGAAAGTCAGAATGGAAAGATTTTTACTTGGCAAGGAAAATGTGAAGAAATATCGAGGTCTGTGAAAGAAGGTCCATATATTTCGGTTAGAAAAACGTGAGACATCGATAAATTACATGCAGACAAGATTGCATTTTCCGAAATGGTGTTTGGTGTTCCTACATCTCTCTTTGAGCACATTAAGTTGTGCCAATCGTTCCCTCTCCACTTGGGGAGCATACACATCTCGAAACATGGTGGTGAACCTCTCCCAGGTCACCGCTGTAATCTCTGCAGAAGTGAAATCAGTCGTCACAAATTTCCACCAGTCCCTCGCTCCCAAGCAAAGCTGGTTCAAAGTGAACCGTACTGTCACACCCCCAAAACCATGAACGGCGGAAACGTTCTGGGGCGGAGGACGTCATGTACAGTATCACAACAATGAATAGTAGTAAACAAGCAACAACATCATCCATTGCATTAATAATATAATTTCATACATGTGCGTTCTGTCAAAGTTATAGACACCAAAAAAAATAGATATCAAAATAAAAGATGAGTCTTGAACGAACTCCCTCTTCTCAAAAGCCCGACACCTGTACCTATCTAGTGGTGACCTGAGAATACAAGTTATTTTGAAAGCAAGTATCAGCTTAATGCTGGTGAGATCATAAGTATATTAATGTCTGTGTTTGTATGAAAGCATTTGTAAGATGTAATGTATAAGTTTTGTAAAGTTTGTATTTGTTTGAACTATCCTAGAAAACCCTATGTTTCCTACTAAAAGTAGCCTTCTACCAAGCCATCTAGTAATTGTGTGTGTGTCTCTTGTAAGAGTGTGTATTTTCCCAAATCCGACTATCATTAACCAAAAATATAGTTTTTACATTACCATGGATCGTGTGAATGTTCACGAAGTGAATGTAATAGGAAAATATTATAGTACTGTAGTGTTGTATTAAGTAACTACTGTTGTACTAACTGCCTTAAACCAATTGTTATTTAAAGTACCATGTGATCGGCCTGTACCCTGCTACCGACTCAATAGTAAAACGACGATGTAAGACACCGTAAGAAATGACATTTGGCACCCGTAGACTTTCAAGTCCCACTGTAGCGAGCAACAAGGTGTAGGATAGTCAATCCAGTATAGATCTATACGCAAACTCATACGCACCCCAATTAAGGAGATTATGGATACAAAAACGGTCATGGCAGGTAGTGCCATGACCCGTTTAATGGCTCACATAACTGAATGTAATGTATATGTAATGTATGTGCTAGCTGTATTGTGTGTTTTTTCTCTGTCTAGCCTGTATGTTTGTTTCTCATCACTATGTATTATGTTTGTTTCTCATCACTATGTATTAAGTTTGTTTCTCATCACTCTGTTCTATGTTTGTTTCTCATCACTATAAGTTATGACTCATGTATGAACTGACTCTTTGTCTGATTCATTGTTCTAGTATTAGTATTAGTAAAACCCTAAACTACGCTTATTGTAGTTTACTAGTAATATAACTTGTACGTATGAACATCGGAGTATACCCATGCTACCCAAGGGTACTGAATGAACTGGAAGAACCTTTATGGCTATATATGTACACATGATATATAACTAATATTTAAACGAACTTCGGACGGGTACTCGATATCCCACCAGACCACATCTCAAGGGCGAAAAGGAAATAGGACGGGCAGGCCTTCCTAAGCCTTTTAAACATTGCTTATATAACTATACATACATAGACATGCAATTGATAATATAAAAGTATAAAAGAAGTTTCATAAAAGCATTTGATATGTAAAAGAGTTTTTAAGACAATTTGAAGTAAAACAGTTTGAAAGTAAGAGATTCACTTGTCGATAGTTATTAATCACATGTGATTGAGATAATAACTATCGTAACTTTACTTGTATTCCCCCCATAAAAGTATTTATAAACATTTGAAAACATTTAAAAGGTTAATTTAGGGGTATGAACTCACCTGTAGTGAGTGAATTGGATTGAAGTGTCGGATATGATGCTAGGTGACAAGTGAAGACTTGTACACACACAACGAGCCTAGTTATCATATAATCAATACACACACACACAAACACACACACACATATATATATATATATATACATATATATATATATATATATATATATATATATGTATATATATATATATATATATATAACTAATTAGGCACTTTATCTCTAATAATATAAGTTAAGACACTCTAGAACATGGTAACACTTTGTTTCAAGTGTTAAAGATCACAAGGGTTGCAACCAAGTGTTGTAGGGAAAGACTAGTGTGCTTGGGGTTCAAGGAACACTCATTTAAGGATTTTACGGTTTTATGGTCACTAGAAAAAGGGTTTACGGTCGTAAACCCTTGGGTTTATGGTCGTAAGCTCACCCCATTTGTGACCATTTGATGTTTGAAGCTTTCTAAGCCAATCCAAGTATTCCTACTTCATGTTTAAGCCATAGGAAGTATTGTGTGGCATCAAAACACTCCTAAATGGAGTTTATGGTCTATGGACCATTTCTCCATGAGTTTATTACCTTAAACTCTCATGGACTTAGGCATTTTGGTGTTTTCAAGTCCTTAGCTCATCATGGTAATAGTCTAGGTTAGATTCTAGGCATTAGGAGTAAATATGGGACATTTAGACACCTTTTGGGGTGTTTACGGTTTTGGGAGATGCCCAAACCGTAAACACATATAAATGTGAGGTTTTTGTTCTTTTTGTGTGATGAAATCATCAAGGATGGATCTAGACAAGTCCCTAAGGCATTGTGAAGCATCTAGGCACCCTAAGACACCACTTTGGCCTTATTCTTGGTGTTTACGGTTTTGAGTGCCTCCTAAAACCGTGAACACCTTGTTCTTGGTGTTCTTGGGACTTTTCTTTGATATTAATATGTATAGCAAGCTTTAAATGACTCTAGGATAGAAGTACTTACTTCGTGGAAGCTTGAAATGAACTAAAAGTCCAAGAACACTAGTGTGTGTTCTTGGTGTTTTGGAAAACTAGTCAAAACACATAAATGGATGGATTAAAGGATGTATAATCACTAGATGTTATGTTATATCAACTAATCAAGTCGAGAAACACTTATGTTTTCGGGAAATCGGGTGAAAACCGAGATGATACTTGAGAGAGTTTGGAGTTTACTCTTTAGGTTGCAAGAAAGAATGAGACACATTGCGGAGTAAACTCATGCTTAAGGCATGAGTTTACGGTTTTTATGGGAGTTTACGGCCCAAACATAAAATTTTGGTCGTGAACTTCTGAGCTACGTGGTATTCGCAGTTTAGAAATTTCAAGACCCAAGACGGCACATTCTTTCACCCGTTCATTTAAAGAATAATTATTATAATAGTCAAACGAATCTTTAAATTTGTTAAAAACAAATAGAACTGAAACTTACTTATAATATAAAGTGATTGAATTCTAGGGTTTGACCGAATGAAAATTTTGAGTTGTCACATCATCCCCTGTTAAGGGAATTTCGTCTCAAAATTAGAATTTTGGTAAGGAAGTAGGTATGAATGATCGAGTCATGAGGTGGAAACTTCCTAATCGATTGGTTCTTGCGCCCATAAGTGAATTTGGGTCCTCGGTTGGTATCCCAACGAACCTTCACTAAAGGGAGGTGGCGCTGCTTCGTCCGCTTGACCTCTCGGTCGGGGGTCACTAC